GGAATATTAATGAGAGCGAGCGTAATATGTAACAGGTAACCACAGATAGTCAAAGCGAGGGAAGAGAGCGAGAAAACGAGTTGATCAGAGGTAAAAAAGAGAGCGCAGGGATCTAAAAGAGGAGAGAGAAATATCCACAGAGATGTTGAGAGAGAGAAAAAGCTGTTATCATAATGCTGGAAAAATCAATGCGCATTGTGATGTGGCAAGAGCATGGCCGATATGCCATGAATAAAAACCAATATTGAGCCAGGCTGAATATCAACGTTGCCGCGACTAGGCTCCGTGCTGCCACCTAGAATAAATAGCTGTTTCTATAGCCACCGTGATAGGTCACATGGCGAGTGGTGCACTAGTGACGAGCAAATTGTAATCAACAGGTGTGTTAAAACGTAATGATAGTAGAGCAGAATGTAGCTGAATAATCAAATCAAAATGTGATTTAAAAATATAAAGCGTTTGTGCTGAGATTCCCAACTAACCCCGTTATAATATTTGCCATTATATGACAGATTTCACTACGACCCATCTACAAATTGGTACGGGCCATGATTATCTGAATGTGTAAATTCCGATCAACCTCTGTGGATTGTAATTATATGCGGGAAAAAAACTATTAGGACCGAGGAATTTTGAATGGTTAAAGAAATTTTTGAGTTCGTGTTTATTGAGTTATGATTTATAAATCATGGGTAGACTAAGGCAAATGCGTGGGATTTTCTCCATAGAATGTGGAGGACTCCCCCTAGTATTAATTACTCGTGATTTTTGACATAGAATAAAAAAATTATTGTTCGGCTGTTTAGGCATCATAGTTCTGAGAACTTAGCAAAATCAATGTTAACCTTGTCAGTAAACGTCTCAGGTAACAAAATTTAAAAATTCCTTTGCAACTAGGCAATAATTGTATTATTAATATTAATAAAAAATACTATTATTATTATTACAAATATTATACTTACACATAGAAATATAAGAATGAGGTGTTGTATATTTTTTTTTTAATTCTTTAAATTAAGTATTAATATCAAATATTAAATGTATGTTGTGTAATATAAAATATACATTTAATATTTTACATTAATACTTAATTTAAATAATTTGCGCACACGCACGTACATATGTAGTATGTATGTATTACTCTTAATACTCAATATAGCATACTATGAAGCCATGTGCTGGTACCACATGCGCAGGCACCCCCTAATACTGCACGACACCATATATGTGTAACGCATCAATTCATATAGGCCAATTCCAGTTTTGATTACAATAACCAGCTCCTATGGGAGCAGTATGTCATCACACAGAGTTGTAAAGCTCATCAATGATTGCTTTAATGAATTTCAACATTCTAGTACATCGGGTTTACCGTGTTAACCAGGATTACATATTGTTGTACAATTCGTTGCTTTGTGGGTGCGGCAGTGACTGCATTGCATGGCAATATTAATAGGGCCTTTCTAGCTATAGCGTATACTCGATTCCCCCAATTGACCGCGGCTATCTAGTTATCTTCTCTCAGTATTGATTCACGTAGCAACAATGACATTTCAAAATCACTATGGAGCAGATAGCTG